TTTGATATAAAACTACAAACACAGGTTTGAAAGTATTTGATATATATACAGTGTGGACAACGACGTGTTTGATATAAAACTACAAACACAGGTTTGAAAGTATTTGATATAGAGCGTCAAGAAACACTTGATATGCCACACTTAACACTTGATATATAAGTGTGAAAACCAATTACACTGGACATCCAGACATCCTCATCTGAAACAACTGCAAAGCATTCAGAATTCAGAAACCATGAGGTATGTAACATGAGATCTTCCTTTTCCAGTGTTCTTCGCTCTTCCTCTTTTCCTGTTGTTCTTCTCGTTTTTTTTCTTTCAACAAATGAATAAATAGCGAAGAAAAAAATTTTAGTTTGAGTTGAATTGCCAGATATGTTGATTAATTTATGCCAAATTCTCTGAAACAGAGAAGAGATTGAGAGAAAAGTACTAAATAAAAAAGGACTAGTTATCTGAAACTAACCGGAGAGAGCGTGTAAGGCCATTAGCTTTGTTGAAATCCTTGTCCTCTCTAGCATTGACGATTTGAAAGACAAGGGCAAGCTAAAAATGCGTTGCAGCACTCTGCTGGGAAATGAGCTGAGTTTCCTTCCAGCTGAGGTGGTGACAATATTGGGATACAATCATTTTAAACTTCCCGTCTTTAACTTTTTTTGCTTCCTTGATGCATTTTTGCTGCTTACCAATATCTTCCCTCAACTTTCTAAGGCTTGGTTTTAACCTTTTCATCCCTTTTGTTTTTTGAATGCAATAACAAACTGTCAATATATGTGAGATATAAAGAGCCACCAATCAAGCTTCCACAAACAACAAATTTAATCCGTACGTCATGAAGATAAAAAATAGCAAAATATATACCCTGTTGCTTCCAAAGCCAAAGTTGGAGAATTTATGTTGCTTGGTGCCATAGGTAGCCTCCTTATTTACCTTTCCAACTAAACTGCAAAGCATTTAGAATCCACGAGGTAACATGAGATCCTCCTTTTCCCGTGCATGGCTTCGGCTCTCCCTATTTTCTTCTTGTTCTTCTTGCATTTTTTTTTTCTTTGAAAAATGAATAAAGTACGAAAAAAAAATTTAGTTTGAGTTGAATAGCCTGGATCGTCTTGGATCTAATGGTTTGCTGGTGGCAATTTGAGAGGGGAGAAACTGGGTTTGTTGGTGGTGATTGTTTTGTTGGCCTGATCTTGCTATTTCCTTGTCTTTTTTTTTTTTTAATCAAATAATAAGTTATAAAATAAAAGATAGTTTTTCTTCTCAAACCTCTCTTCACTTGTTTTTAAATTTGAATTTAATATTTTTAATATGAAAATTCAAGTTTTTAATTACTAAAATGTCTATGTTCCTATTCCAGAGCCACAGGGAATGCTATTTCCTTACAATTAGTTTTTTTATTTTTATTTTTATTTT